GGCTGGCCTACTCCAAGTCCGAGGAGGAAATGCACAGCAAGGAAAGCAAGTCTCCTGCACCCTGATGGCTCCTTCACAGCTACGGTTCCCACCTCCCACCCTGCTTCCAGGTGAGACTGCTCATCAGGTGCCCGGTCTGTCCTTGTCTAGTGACATGCCACCATCACTCCAGATGGGCTGTGCACAAGCAGCCCGTCTCCACCCGCACGGTTCTCCCTTCCTCTGCCTTTTCCCAGCATGCGGTCATCGGTACCACCCGGACCAGGTAGGAGATGCGCCCTATGATTGAGCCTGTCACTCTCTGTCTCAGTCTCGTTCCGTCTGTCCATGGCCACCCGCTCACTCTCCTTACCCTCCCACCTCCTGCCTGGCCTTCTCTATTGTATATATGGCTTCCCATGAGCAGCTGCCTGCACCCTGCACTACGGCACACCATCACACATCTGTCATCACTTCACTCCTGTCTCGTCCCATGGTTAGGGAGCGCAACTTTCAGGTGACCTTTGCCAAAGCCAGGGGCAGGAGGGAGGCCCCATATTGCCAGTGGGGACATCATGCAAAAGTGCCACATTGCTGTAGCTTCTCACCCTTCCCTCCAGGGAAGCATGAGGTGTATGTACATGTGTGTGTGCGTGTCTGTGTGTGTGTGTGTGTGTGAATGTGTGAGAATGGTAGGGGAAGCACCTGATACCTAATTCAGCCTCTGTGGCAGACCTCATGGGGGTGATGGGCGGATGGTCACCAGCATCGTGACCTTTCCGTGGGCGGTTGATACCTTCTGATAACAACTGCTTCACCTGAGAGAGAGAAGACAAAACGGTGTGAGTTTGAGCCTGGTTGTGCTCCCATCTGGAGGGAGGCACTGCCGGTCCTAGATTTGGCCAGTGCCTGAGCTGTTCCCAAGGCCCTGGCCACAAGGGCCCAGCTCTGCTTACCGTGTCGGCCCAGTAGGGGTGATTGGCCTGCTGCCGCAGAAGGCCCTTCAGGTCAAAGTTCTCGGGGTAGTGGGTGGTCTCGGTCCGTGGGTAGCTGATGTAGCCTTGTGTATAGAGCCGCTCGGCAGTCTGCATGGCATGCTGTGGCCCCATGCCTGTGAGAGACATGAGGCTCAGCTGGCCCGGAATGCCAGGGACGGCCAGGTGCCTGCTCACGGGCAGTGACACTTAGGCTCCCTCAAAGGTGGATGAGGCCTTCTGAGGTGGGTGATGGTGACTCTGAGTAGGCATGGCCCAAAGAAGAGCTGCTGGCCAGGTGCTTGTGCCCACACAGCCTTATCCAAGGCTGAGGTCCTCAATCTATGAGGGTGGACCCAGGATAGGGATGCTCCAGTGTCACCCTTATGACCTTGGTAACTGTATTGACTAAATGTGGCCTTCAGAGTGCCTGCCTCTCATTCTCTGGCATGGAGCCATAATCATGCCTTAGAGTCTGCTGACACTCCACTATGATAGCAGAATTAGCACATGCCCTCTGTTCTGAGCCCCTTGGGTGTTTCTGTCCTCACAATGCTTCAGGACCACTGAGGGAGGGCTCATCTTCCTGTTCCTCTCTGACCCAGCATAGGCTGGCACTCAGCTACTGGTCACTCAATGTCATTGTTGCCCTCCGAGGATCCCTGGATGTGCTGCTCCGAGAGGAGAAAGCCCTTGATTCTCCAAGGCCACCGAAGGGGCCACCAATGCCTAGAGGCCAATACCATCAGAGACTGCCAACTTTCCCGCCCAACCTCCTCTTGCCTCTGTGAAAACAAGGCTCAGAGGGGCTATGTCATATCTGTCCTGGGCAGGAGATATGGGCCTTGAGCTCTCCCCTGCACCAAGGAAGCTGCTCCGGAGCACTAATGTCAGGCTGTCTCTCTCGGGCAGGGGCAATTATTTCCATTGCTATTGTTAGGATGCGTAGTTTCAATCAGATAATCCTTACAACCCAGAGAGATGGGTACTATTATCCCCGTCTTTTCTCTTGAGGAAACCAAGGCTCTCGGACAAGGAAGGAAGTGGCTGAGCTGGGATTTAAAGCAGACTTTGGCTTTAGAGCTTCAACTCCACAGTTAAATGCCTCTGAGAGGGCCTGTCTTGTGGGTGGGCCCTGCCAACAGCCTTCCATGTGTTCAGTCCTGGCAGGGGTTGCTCAGACAGTAATACACAATGGTCTGCATTTCCACCACATACATTCAAAGAAGCTGTTGAGTACCAACCAACAACCCCATGACATGGAATCGCCCCTCCTGTTTGTTTTTACTTGTTTCCACTCTATAATTTAAGAGAAATGAAATCTGCATGAGGCTCAGATTTCCTCTAAGCCTCAGGTATGGACAGGGGGTGCATGGCACAGGTGAGCACAAAAAGGGGGTACTGGCAAAGGTAATCAAGAGTGAGTGTTGGGAAAGGTTAGAATGAAAGGGGGGCATGCAGCACAGGTGAGCATGGGCTGGGGATGTACTGGTACACGTGAGCACGGGGGTGGGTGCTGGCAGAGGTGAGCATGCAAGGGGGTGCATAGCACAGGTGAGCATGCAGGGAGAGTGCTTGTAGAGGTAAGAACATTGGCACTGCCCTGTACCCCCGGGTGCTACAATGGGGTTGAACGAGGTTGCCGCATGCCTGCCGCAAGAAATCTTTTGGAGGCTTTAGAGAAAAGCCCCTCATACCCAGAGAAGAGCTTGCCACACGCAGCATCTCCACAGTGTTCAGGGCCAGAGGCCTCTGCTTGGCTTTCTCTTTCTTGCTTGTGGCCTCCACCTAGAAGACAGACAGATTCAGTGATTTGGGGGGTGGGGGCATGGTGGGAAAGATACCATAACAGAATCACGATGTGTGGGCAAAGGGTCTGGTTTCAGTCATTTGGGCTCCCTGCTTCTCAAATTCATTCCTTGCAATGGTCTCCAGATTTAAAGTAATATTGATTCAGGGCCAGGAAGGAAAAAACAAAGAAAATCATTTTCTAGGG